TATTAAGGTCTATAGTACAATAGGCAAAGAAGGAGAGTAATATAATAGATTCAATCTATGGAATCATATTAATCAATAGAGCAATGTATCAATTGATATATAGTCTATTAATTGATATATGATTTTCAATTGAAATCTATTGTCTGTGTTATTTTCTGTCTCTTTTGTTTGTGAATAGATCTTAACATTTAATATTTATTCCTATTCCTAATATTTCCTCCATTGCACAGAACCTGACTGTATAAATTAAAGTTACATTTAATGCTCACAATGCTATTTGAATCATTTTATTCTTATTATTAAATAACATATTTGAAAGCATTGTGAGCGCCAAATGAAAGATATAAAGTATGTCTAAGTATGTAAGAATTTTTGTATGTATGTAGTTTTTTTTAGTTTTTTATTTATTTCTATTATATAAGTTTTTATATGTTATTCCTAGGTTATGAGGCGCAAAAGTGAAAGAAATAAAGCAAAGGGATCTCCAGAGAAGAAGATCGAAAAACCAACTAGGAAGTCAACACGTAGGCGTGGTAGGAGATCGCCTTCTACATCATCCGAGCAAGATGTTATTATTGAAGACACAGCTAAAAGTACTACTCAAATCAAGGAGGTTGAGAAGGAGATAAGTGTGCAGACGCGCTTACAAAGCAAAGAATTGGAACAGACACCACATGGGTGCGAGGAGAAGGTCTCTTCCAGTGATATAGACATAAAAGTGGATTCGCCCGAAGATGAGGACAACGGTGGCTCAGTGGTATGGAAAGTAGCGAGAGCAGATGCGTCGCCTGGTGAGATACAGAAGCTGAAATTATGCAGGCAGCGCAACACGTCAGAACCATCATCAGACACACCACCATCGGGTAGGAAAGGTGTCAAGTCAAGTAGCAAGTGGCAAGGAAGTGGTGAGGGCGTTGCAGAGGAGGCTGACTCGGCGGATGAGCAACTGGTTTCTTGTACAAGAACGCTCAGTAGCGTTGAACAGCCGAACGATCCCTCCTCTTCATACCCAGGTCAGGACTCCAACGAAGAGGTAAGTGATAGGAAGGAGATCCTGCCTGAAACCACTTCGGCCAACTTGTTGTCTGACGATAAACCAAACATAGATCAGCATGGTGAATCAAATGAGGCAAATTGCGCTGCCCAAATCGTTGATATCGAACCTGGTAAGCCGGGTACAACAACCGCGCCGACTACTAGCACGAACGGCGAGGAGACCACCGCCACTGTCATCGATAAAGAAGATAAATTTGTGGAAGTCATCGGTGAAAAGTCAACAGAGACATTTGTCAAAGAGACTAGCGTGGAGAACGCTCGTAGAGACACGAGCAGCGAAGATGAGGAAGATAAGGACGATAAGGGGAAAACGCATCGTCCGGTGGATTCGTCGTCTGATTCAAACGACGAGTCACGCCCTAAAAGAAGATCAAGTAGTGACCGTACATCGCCACGCGCGAATCGTAGGAAACATCGAAACAAATATAGAGATTCATCTAATTCAGAAACACCCGATTCCGAAGATGAACCAGTTGAAAGGAAGGTTTCTGAACCTTATGCAGAGGAGGAAGAAGAGGAGGAGCAGGAAGAGGAGAAACCGAGTGTAGAGTATACGCAAGAGAATGATAAAGAACAATCGGTGTCGCCGGAAAGAACTAATTCTCACTCAAATAATGTTGAAAAACTGGAGATCGAGCATAGTGAGATTGTCGAGGATAAATCGGAAGAAAATACGACTGAAAAATCAGAACAATCTACACCGGCTAGCACTCAGGTGGTTGCTCACAAACCTGTCAAAGTCAACTTGAAGAGATCATTGTAAGCATATACATTTGTGCCAAGGGGCCTGGTTTTTTATAGCTGAACGAAACTTTTTCTTTCTATTTCGCCAAGTTTCCAATATATATCCATTTCACTTTAAATACAAGTGTATTAAAGCTTATAACTACAAAAAATAGATTTAATAAGTATCTTTCTTCGAAACAAGGAAATTTTATTTATAAAAAACATACAATAGATTTAAAAGATTAATGAATGTTTTCCACGTATCATTATTTTGAATGATTTAGTCATTTTAGATTTTATATTACAGTATGAATAAATGAATTAAAATATCAATCATAAAATATCAAAAAATCGAGAACTGTAATTACGTGATAATTTCTATGTTTTCAGTTCGACGAGGATATTATCCGAAAAGAATGAAGTGAAAAAAGACGATATTGATGCAAACATCGATAATGAATCCAATAGTCAAAACAAAGTATAATTATTTCTATTATTTTGTTTAGAATTGGGAGCATTCATCTATCTAGCATTATATTTGAATAATATGCTTTTTAGGAAAATAGCACTGAACAAGAGCCAAAATGTGTGCCGAGGAAACGTCGATGGGGAACCGCACTTTCCACAGATACTGCGCCCTCGTTTTCTATTTCAACTGATTCGCTTAAGGTTTTTCTTTATTATATTATTTCAATCTATTGTTGTTCATATTAATATACTAAAATTCACTAATAATGCGATAGGCATTGGTGCCGGGTGCAAAACCATTATCGATTAATGAAGTTCGTCTCTCCAAGGACGATGACGAGGACAGAGATCGGCATAGAAGTAACGACAAACGGTACAATTCTAGTGATATAACAAATGATAAGACAATGGACGATAATTTGCAGAAAAATGGCGCTGCTAAAAAGGGCAATGGAAAAGTGGATAATCATATTGGTATGTATATTTACATTTTGTTAGATAAAATTAATAAATTTTCATAAAATATTCTTATTTAATATTTTTACAATATTCCTATTATTTTTCCATAGCGGCAAGGCGAAAGATATCAATCGTAAAGGAGATGCCACAGATAAAATCGCCAAGTCCACCAGCATCTAAACCTACTAATATCCTTTTGATTAAGAATCTAGTTCGTCCTTTCACGTTAAATCAGATCAAGGAACTTCTTTCGCGTACTGGCACCATCATGGAAAACGGATTTTGGATGGATCGAATCAAATCTAAATGCATTGTCGAGGTATGGTTGTATAAACATGGAACATCTTATAATTACGATACATCTTAAGTTAAATCCTTTATGATTTTGATATTACAGTATTCCAATGAAGATCAGGCTTTTGAGACAAGACAGGCGCTTCATGGGATTTCTTGGCCTATGTCGAATCCAAAGAAGCTTCATGTGGAATATGCTACGAAGGAAGACATGGAAGCCGCTCGAGAATCGTCCAAGGAACAACCGGTTGCTCGCAAAACCGAGCCGCTCTCGTCGGATACGTGGCAACAAGATTGGAATCGCGACGAAAAGATTAATACAGCTAAGGTATGAACATGTGTTGCGATCTTACTTTGACCATGAGATTTTGAGATATTTTTGATTAATTTTGCATATTTATGTATCAGGTGACCGTGGTAAGAGAATGGGATTTAGGCAAGGAAGACGGACAGCAGCACATCCGGGAGAAAGAACGTGAGAAGAAAGAGCACGATAAGAAGCGACGAGTAAGGAGTCGAAGCCCAGCATTGGACGCGCATCTCTCGGCACCGGCTCGGAAATTCAAGAAGAAGGAGGATGATCCGCCGCCGGCCAAGCTCCTGGATGATCTCTTTAGAAAGACAAAGGCGACACCTTGCATATATTGG